TATTATCTATTATTAATTTATTTATTTTATTATTAATTTTATGTAACATTAATTTATTATTTAAAGATACTGTATCTATTCTGTAATTTTAAGTACCAATAACATCAAATAAAGAATAAGTTTAAAACATAATATCTTGTCTGCTTTTGAATTAGTTTTCTGTGTGAATTCTATTTCAAATAACATCATTATATATCTTGAATCTTCTGTGTAAATTTTTTTGATATATTATATAACATAACTAGAAAGATTACATAAATACAGATAAGAATAATGAATTTATCTCATCCAAATCCAAACTTTATAAGCATTTCATATTTTTAAGAATTTATAGAATAAATTTTCATAAAATTATTTTATTTTAAAAGTTAAATCAAGATTTCTTTATTAATATATTATATAAATTATCTTCTTGAAATGGTCTATTAATACTTAATAATCCACAAGCAAGAATTATGAATTCTATAGCTGATTTATCTAAAAAAATATATATTTTTGATAAATTTGTTCTACCTGAGTCACAAATATCCATACAACAAATAATAACTAGTTAGCAATTAATAACTTTTCCTTCACAACAAATAACTAGTCAGCCAATAGCTTCTTCTTTACAATCTATAATTAGTCAGCAACCAAAGTTACTTCTCCATAATCAACAACTAGTCAGCTACCAATAATTTCTTCTCCACAACCAACAACTAGTCAGCAGCCAACAATTAAATCACAACCACTATCTCCTCCACAACCACAGCCACCAACACACAATTACCTCTTGCAAAAACGAGCCACTTTTCAACTATCTAAATCTATTCTGTCCCCTCCGCAACAGTCCTCTCCAACTAGTGTAATGTTTATTTATAATATAAATACGAAATATTTGAAAAACATTGACTTAATAGATCATGACCAATCCGAATTGCCAGCTTCTGATTTCACTGCTACATATTTACAAGATTACAATTCTATAATATATATAGGTGGTAAATCTTCAGGTGAAAAATTAATACCAATAAATCAGGTTTCATATCCTCAAAAATTCATTGTTCGTTATTTTATTTCTAAGGATTCACTGAAATCTTACAATTAGATTTGGACATACAATATTTTAGAAAATAGCTTGACATCAAAAGTAAATATATTTTGGTTTTAAATTATGAAATCATTCCTTATGTTCTAATTATATATAAATTTTAAAAGTCGGCTACTAATATAAGTAACATAGTCGGTCGATATGGACATTCAGCATGCTTAGGTAATTTTATGTTTTAAGATTGAATATTAATTTTAAATTTAAAGTGCAAAATAAGATCATTATTTACGGAGGAATATCAGAACAATCTCTTGATTCTAGCATTGCCTTAGTAATACTGGAGATAAATGATCACTGCCTTGGTAATACTGGAGATAAATGATGGCAATTACAATTGGCGTCTTATAACAATCGCACAAAATAATCAACCTATCGCTATTCCTTACTATCATACGGCGACATTGATTAACGATACTTGTATGATCGTTCCATTCGGTAATTTTGGATAGCTTATAATAGATAAGCATTTTCTTTTGTTTAGGGAAAGATAGCAAAAGTGGAACGTTAATTGAAGATGCCACATCAAACACAAATCAAATTACAAACAATACATCAACATCGAATGCCAATGTAAGTTCGATTCTTAAAGTAGACGTACAGAAAAATATTTATATATGGGCAGCTAATTTTTCTGATTTTAATCCAACTGATTCAATATATCCTCTAAGAAAAGGAGTAAATACTGGCAGTATAGTAAGCGGTGTCATTGGAGGAATTTTAGGTGTTGTTATTCTAGTATATGTCATATTCAAATTATGCAGACGTAAGCAAAAGCCAAAAGATTCAGAGAATAGTCACCATGAAGACATTCAAGTTAGACCAAACCATATTACAAGCGATTCAAACAATCAGATTATGCAATAACCAACTGCAAAAAATAATATATTTGGCTTTAAGATTTTCTTTCATTCACCAATAATTTTCTCTAACGTGAAATGAAATCTTTCTTCATAGATTCCTAATTTTAGCAACTATTAGTGAGTTTGGATGCTTTTATTTATTAATCATAATAAAACAGGTCGATTAAAATTAAGAGAATTCTTCGATTTAAAAAGATTATATTTATATTTTCAATATGAATTCTACGGTATCGAGAAATTTTTAATATAATAAATTTCTGATTACAATAAAAAATTCATAATTTTATGAATTTATTATAATAAGATTACTTGTATGATTACTTACTGAAATTCACGAATTTTGATAGTTAATAAAATATTAAAATCAAAATTGTGATAAATTATTAATATGAAAGAATAAGTTATTAATATATATAATTTTTATATTAACAAAGTTATAAATTAAATGAATAAGATTCCTATGAATTTGAAAATTATTTTTATTAAAATATCAATAGAAATATAGTTATATAAAAGAAAAAATAATCTGAAACTAATTCAAAGATTTTTTACTAAATAATTTCAAATACAAAATTTGATTTAATATTATTAGTTTAAGAAAATCTTTGATAAGTTTAATCAAAAAAATTAGTTATATTAACTAATATAATTATTAATAGCCAAATTTAAAATTTTTCAGACAAATATTTTAATAATTCTAAAAAAATCAAATAATATATCTTATTATATAACTCTTTTTATATAAACTATTTTAAAATCTAATATTTTAAAAGTAATGATGAGAATTGAATATATTTTAATTTTGTAAATTCTATTAATTTAATAATAAATCCTGAATTTGATTTTTATTATTAAATTTTAAAATATTATTTTTAAAAAAGATTATTATTATTATTCTTTTTTTTAATAGCTAATTAATATAAGAAATAAAAACTAATTTATATAAGAAGAAATTTTATATTATATAATATCTTAAAAGTAAGATTTACAAGAAATTTTATATTGTATATTATAATTAAATATATAAATTATTTAATTAATTTTATATAAAGATAAAGTAAAATCTATTATCAAATTAATATTAGATAATATTTATTAATATATTAATATATATAAATTTTTAAAATCTTTTGACTTAAATTAATATTATTAGAATTTTTTATTAAATTATATTTTAAAATATTAAAATATATATATATAATATTATTATTTAAATAATAATTATTTATTTATATATTTTTATTAAATTAAAAAATTAGATTTTTATTTCAGATTATATAAGAAAAAATATAACAAATAAATATAAACTTTAATAAAAATAATAAAAATAAATAATATAATATTTTTATAATATTATTATTAATATAAATTAAATAAATATATTAAAATTAAAAAAAATATAATTTAAATAAATAAATTATTAAATTTATAAAAATTAAAATATACTTTTACTTTATATTATAAATATTATTTATATTTATATACATAGTAATAATTAAAAATTATATGTTAGAGATTAAATTAATAATATATAATAAAAATTAAAAATTTTTTTGATAATAAAATTTATAATAAAATTTAATTAATAAAAATTTTTATATTAACTTTATAATTAAAATAATTCTTTTAGAAAAAATCTAAAAATTTGATAAAAATATATATTGATCATAATTAATAAACCTTATTTTATATAAAAATAAAAATTATTTTTTAATAAAATTATAAATTTTAATAAAATTATAAATTTTAATATAGAAAGAAAATTTTAGTTTTTATTATATTTTATTAGTAAATTTAGTTTCTAATATATTGTTACTATAGTAACATAAAATTCTTTAATTCCCTAATCTTTCTCTGATTATGCAAAATTACATATTTCTATATTTTTCATTTATTTTATCAATATCCCTATTTCTATATCATATATTATTATATTTATTATCACATTTCTATTTTTAACACTATATCTTATTTAATATTTAGAATCTATATTTTTATTATTTTGTATTATAATATTTATGTATATAGTAGAATAGTATAGTAAAAGATTATTTTTAATTTTGATGGAACAATTATACTTGGTTGATGATCTCAAATATCTTTCTATATTTTTCAATATCTTTTCATATTTTCTCATGTCTTTTCATGTTTTTCAATATTCTTTTACATACTTTAATGTTCTTCAATATTCTTTGACATCTTTTAATGTACTTTGATATAACCTATTTATAATTATTTATACTATAGTACTTTAATTATATCTTGTATATTAGATAGTATTAGCTAGTAATACTATAATAATTTTTGTATCTGAAAAATATATAAAAGAACCTGCTATTCCAGCTTGAAATAAATAATTTTGGATTGAATTGTTTGGAAAAAGATTACTTTTATAATCTAATTATATTAGTATCCTTTCTTTCACTCAGTTTTATTCTTTTGATCATACAAAGTTGATTTTTGAATTTTTGAATTATAATATTATATTGATTTTTGATTTATTTGATATTGTTTTGAGAATAAAAGATCTCTACTATAAATAAGTCACATTTTTTGTTTTATTTCTTTTATTATTTTTGAGAGTAGAAAATCTTTACTATAAATAAGCCATATCTTTTATTTATTTAGTTATTTAGTTTTCACACTTTGATTTTTACCTTTACTTTAGTTATAGCCTTCTTTGATTAATAGTTTACTATTTAATCAATTCAAATCTTGAGTTATATTGATTACTAGTAGCTTTACTTAGATAATCTTTATAATTTCTTTGATTTATTTTATTCTTTCTTTATTTATTTACTCTTTGTTAAGACAATATCCATAAATATTAGCACAGGTCTTAGAAATCTTTGTCATTATTGAAAGTTATAATCCAATTCCCCTTTTATTACCATTAATTATTTCAGTTTCTTCTAACCCTATATTGTTAGGATAAATTAAAGTAAAATCTCACTTATATATTTATCATAATAATATTTTTTTTAATTAATACTATAATTAATAATATATTTTTATTAATAATTTTATTATATATTTTAAATAATATAGTTATTTAGCTAAAATTATATAATTAATATATAAAAAATATAATTTTAAATTTAAATTAATTTAATATAAATTATAAATTTAAAATATAATAATAATAAAAAAAATAATAATTCTTTTTTTTAAAATTATATTATCAAATCTATTTTTATATTAAAGTAATACTAAAATTAGCTAGAAATATATTTATTATATAATCTAAAATAAAAAAAATATTATTATTATTATTATTATTATTATTATTATTATTATTATTATTATTATTATTATTATTATTATTAT